GCCATCTTTTCAAAAAAATTTTTAAAGGGTTTATCCAAAAATCCATCTTATAATTAATATTTTTAAAAATTAATTATTAGATTAACAGTTTTATTCATATAGATCATGCATGTAAATTTTTAAATTGATCTTGGAGGCTTAACTAGTTTGTTAATTAACAAACTCTAACATCGTTGCTAATGATATATATAAATAATTTAGTAATAATTTCTTTTTACAGAAAATAAAAGATTCTAAGTTCAAATAACATGGTATGTGATTGAATGAGATAAAAAATATGAGAGGATTGTCTTTCATTAAAAAAAATTAATATCGTTAAATATATGTTAATAAATAAAGTATTTTTATAAAAAATTATAAATATTAGATTGATATAAAAATTAGCAAACATAATTTATATGAATAAAATTTTTAATCTAAAAATTAATATCGTTAAATATATGTTAATAAATAAAGTATTTTTATAAAAAATTATAAATATTAGATTGATATAAAAATTAGCAAACATTATTTATACCAATAGCCTCTTGGACGAGGTCAGGTCCCCAGCAACCTTCCACCTCATCCCCCGCCCCCAATCCCTCGCGTTGACCATGCAGAAGGAGGAGATGAAAATCAACCACACAATTCGGCTCACAACTCAGCCTCTACTGCCAACCAAGACATAGTTGCAGCCCAGATCACTGCCATGCAACAACAGTTTGGTGTCTTTCAACTAGTGCTAGCTCAGCTGTTAGCTCGGAACAATCCTGGTGATCCACTCATCAACCTACTCAATCCTACTCCACAACCCCAAGCCCCACAACAAAATCCTGAACCAGTTCAGCATGCTCCTGCTATTAGCGAATCCCAGGGCCAATCTCACATCGCACCAGTTCAGCAACCTCTTCATGATGATGTTCCTCGACGTCTAGAGAGCTTGGAAAAGCTAGTGGCTGAACAGCGAGGTGCCCCACCTCCACATCATGCTGTTGACTCCATACCCCACCCTCTGAACACCAACATCACATTAGAACCCTACCCTGCTGGTTTCAGAATACCTCAACTTGAGACTTATAATGGGACAAAAGACCTCGATGATCATCTCCACGCTTTCTACTCTTGCATGCAAGCCCAAAACGCCTCTGATGCGTTGATGTGTAAGATCTTTCCCTTTACCCTCCGAGGTAATGCCCGAACCTGGTATTACAGTCTACCTCCGAGGTCAATCAGCTCTTATACAGAACTGGCATCTGCTTTTGCCATAAAGTTTTCCAGCAGAAGGTTGATCAGGAAAACTATTTCTGAGTTGATGGGAGTTAGGCAGAGGGACGGCGAGTCTTTGAAGAATTTTATGAGCAAATTCAATGATGCAGTACTGGAGGTTAACTCCTTCGACCAGGTTGTGGGTATTACGGCTGTGATCTCAGGTCTTAGCCATGAGCGATTCAGAGATAGTCTGCTTAAACATCCTGCCACCACCTTCAGCGAGGTAAATGATATATCACTGAAATTCATCACTGCTGAGGAATATGTCCTATCGCAGAACCCAACTCATATTAAGAACCAACATCCGGACTGGAGAGATGAGAATCCGAACAGGAAACGGATGAAGACAACACAGAACTGAGGTCTGATGCCGACTTCCACCCCGAGATTCGGAAGGCCGAACTCAGCACCTCCGCAACAATCTGCAGGTAAACCTCCAGTTAATTGGACTCCTTTTAATTTGACGAGGTCACAAATCTTTATGCAGATTAAGAATAAGATGGACTTAAGGCGTCCGGGTCCCATGCGAACTGCCGCTGCTACCAGAGATCATATTAGGTATTGTGATTTTCATCAAGATCACGGTCATACAACAGAGCAATGCAACAATCTGAGGTCCGAGTTGGAAAGTCTGGCTCAGAAAGGAATGTTGAATGAGTACATCCAGAAAGTTGAACAGCCAAGGTTTATCAGAGAACAGGGGCTGCAGCATCAAGGAGTTCGCAATCCCCCGAACAAGCAAGGTGTGGGATATCAGCAAGCACCACCCCCGCTCCCATCACCAGCTAGAATCATACACATGATTACGGGAGGCCTAGAAGCTGGTGGACTGAGCTCTAAGCAGCGAAAGTTGTATGTCAGAGAAGTTAAGCATCAGAACCGAGCTCAGAAGTGAAAGTTTGACGATGCTAAGTGGAAGAATCAACCCATTACTTTCACATCTGCTGATCTTGATACAGTCGTCACACCTCACAATAACCCTCTAGTCACTTCTGTCATGATTAACAATTGTGAGGTGCAGCGTGTCCTTGTTGACACAGGGAGTGCACCAGACATCATGTACTTCCATTGTTTTGAGAGTCTTAGTTTGGATCTAGCTTTGTTGCAGCGGTATGATGGTCCCATCTACGGATTCAACAATCAACCAGTCCCAGTTGAAAGAGTCCTCACCATGAATGTTGCCTTTGGAAGTGGCCGAAGTTATGTGACCCCTTCAGTTCGGTTTCTCGTAGTCAAGATGGTATCCTCTTTCAACGTCGTCATTGGTCGACCCACACTGACTGAAATCTGAGCTGTGGTTTCCCAATCTCACCTATGCATGAAATTCCCAACTCCTACGGGAATAGCAATGCTGCGAGGCAACCAGGAGGTGGCTAGACATTGCTATATCACCTCGGTCACACAACCTCAGAAAGGCAAAGATCAGACACCCGAGGCTAACCCTAAACGGATTCCTGACGATCGGTAAGTTATGGGTGTTGAAATAGTAGATAACCGACCAAAAGATGAAACCAGAGCTGCTCTAGTCGAAGATGTGGAAGAGGTACAGATTGATGACACAGATCCAAGCCGAACAACGCAAATTGGAACTAAATTGCACCCGGAGGAAAGAGCAGAGCTAATAGCTTTTCTTCGGGCCAACAAAGATGTTTTTGCATGGACTTCAGCCGATATGCCGGGAATTCCCACTTCGGTTTCTCAACATAAACTCAGCACCAGTCCACTCAAGAAACCAGTAGCCCAAAAGCGACGCCTCTTTGGGGGGGAGAGGTTAAGCGTTATTAAAGAAGAAGTCGAGAAACTCCTACAAGCTGGCTTTATCAGAAGAGTCGATTACTGTGAGTGGGTCGCTAATCCCGTGCTGGTGAAAAAAGCAAACGGTAAGTGGCGGATGTGCATCGATTACACTATCCTCAACGACGCATGTCCAAAAGACTGTTACCCAATGCCAAACATTGATAATCTGGTTGAGGCAGCTTCGGAAAATGAGAGATTAAGTCTCCTTGATGCATATTCTGGGTATCACCAGGTGCTGATGGCCCCAGAAGATGAAGAGAAAACCTCGTTCTATGCCGACGATGAAATCTATTGCTATGTGATGATGCCCTTCGGTTTAAAGAACGCAGGTGCCACTTACCAGAAGATGGTTACCATCGTATTCCGAGCTCAAATAGGCAGGAATCTAGAAGTTTACGTTGATGACATAGTGGTAAAGAGTTTGAAAGTTGAAAATCACTTGACAGACCTCGAGGAGACATTCAACAACCTCAGGAAGAACAAGATGAGATTAAATCCAGCAAAGTGCATCTTCGGTGTGGAGTCCGAAAAGTTCCTAGGCTTCATGGTGTCCAGAAGGGGGATTGAGGTTAACCCCAAGAAGACCAAAGCAGTAGCCGAGATGGAACCACCAAAGTCAGTAAAAGATGTGCAGAGGTTGATGGGGAGAGTAGCAGCCCTTCATAGATTCATTTCGAAATCAGCAGATAAATGCCTGCCGTTCTTCAAGATCATGTGATTGGTAGCACAGAAGGATGGATTTGGCAAACAAAAGAAGTTTACGTGGAATTCAGAATGTCAAGCTGCATTTGACGAGCTGAAGTCTTATCTTAGCTCACCACCTTTGCTGACAAAGGCTGATGATGGAGAAATCCTTTATTTGTACCTCGGCATATCAGATGAGGCCATCAGTTCTGTGTTAGTAAGGGAAGAGGGAAAGCAACAGAAACCAATTTACTACATCAGTAGCATGTTACATGGAGCTGAAGTCAGATATTCCATTGCTGAGAAAGCACCCTTAACAGTTGTCACTTCGGCCAGGAAACTGAGACTGTATTTCCAATCACACCCAATCATAGTCCTCACGGACCAGCCGCTCAAACAAATTCTGCAGAAGCCATAATGTTCAGGGAGATTGATCAAATGGGCAGTTGAACTAGGAGAATTCGAGATCACATTTCAGCAGAGGTCAGCCATCCGAGCTCAGGCTCTTATCGATTTTATAGTAGAATGCACCTCGGCTCGCTCTGATTCCCAGTCCGAGGTAGACAGTTGGATTCTGTATGTTGATGGCGCATCAAGTAACAAAGGTTCTGGTGCTGGTGCAATCCTACTTGGCCCAGACGGATACCGAAGCGAACACGCTCTAAAATTTAATTTTGATGCCACCAACAATATGGCTGAGTACGAAGCCTTGCTACTTGGCTTACAACTGGCGACAGAACTGAAGGTTGAAGCGATACAAATATACAGTGATTCACAGCTAGTAGTCAATCAGGTCAACTCAGTCTGTGAAGTGGTTGATCCTGTTATGATGAAGTATGCAACTCTGGTGGCCGAACTGAAATCCAAATTCCAGAAATTCCACTTAAGCAAAATACCCTGAGCTGAAAATGAGCAAGCAGATTCCCTTTCCAAGTTTGCTTTCGATGGCAACCAAAACTCCAGATCGGTCTTTGTAGAAATTCTGGACGAGCCTAGCTTCTTGAAACCACGAATGATGGAGGTCAGCACAGATCCTAGTACACCGAGCTGGACAGATCCAATTATCTCGTTTCTACGAGATGGCACAGTGCCTGCAGATAAACAGGAGGAGATGAGGTTGAGAAAGAAGGCATCTCGGTACACCCTTCTTAATGATGTCCTCTACAAAAGATCTTTCTCACTCCCTCTGCTCCGCTGCCTAACCCCTTACGAGGCTGAATACGCACTTCGGGAGGTGCATGAAGGTGTCTGCGGAAGTCACGTAGGTGCTCGAACTCTGGCCCATAAAGTCCTTCGACAAGGTTATTATTGGCCCAACATGTATAAGGATGCCATCCAGTTTGTACAGAGGTGTCAGAAATGTCAGTTCTTCGCACATCTAATCCACCAACCTGTAGAAGAGCTTACTACTCTAGTAGCACCTTGGCCATTTGCTCAGTGGGGTCTCGACCTTTTAGGTCCATTTATGAAGGGGGTAGGAGGTGTAACCCATCTCATTGTTGGTGTGGATTATTTCACAAAATGGGTTGAAGCTCGGGCACTATCCAGTCTTACCTCCAAGAAGGTAGAAGACTTTGTTTTCAGCTCAATTATTTGCAGATATGGGATCCCGAGTCAGATTGTAGCTGATAACGAAACTCAATTCAATTGCACCTCATTCCGGGATTTCTGTTCCAGCTATGAGATCAAACTACAGTTCACCTCGGTTTATCATCCAGAGTCCAACGGCATGGTGGAATCTGTTAACAAATGCATCTTAGAAGGTATAAAGCCGAGATTGGAACAGCATAAGGCCAAATGGGCAGACGAGCTCAACAACGTCCTCTGGGCATACAGAACCACGAGCCGAACTACCACAGGTATTACTTTAAACCTGGTCTATTTGATTAACTTTACATTGTTTTTCCCCTTCTACTACGGCTTGACCTTAGAGCAAATTTACATAACGCGTAAAGCACATACTAAAGTTATAATTAATTGAAATAGGTGAAACACCCTATCATCTGGCCTTTGGTACTGAAGCAGTCATTCCTATCGAGATAGGAGTCCCAAGCTTCAGGGTCACCCATTTCGATGAATGACGAAATGGACAACTGCTTCGAGAGAACCTTGATCTGCTTGATGAAGTCAGAGAAGAAGCACGACTTCGAACTCTAGTCTACAAGCAGAAAATAGCAAACTTCTATAACAAACGAGTTCGACCCCGCACATTCAAAGTGGGAGACCTTGTTCTCAGGAAAGCTGGTCTAACGGGGTTCGAAACTCGATTTGGAAAGTTAGCACCAAACTGGGAAGGCCCTTACACTATAGCTGAAGTCCCACACTCAGGTGCTTATATCCTACGGGATACTGAAGGCAAACGGGTTCCTAGGGTCTGGAACGTCAATAACTTGAAGAAGTTTTACCCTTAAGTGTACTTCATTTAAGTAAATTTTGTCTTAATCGTTATTACTTTCACTCCTTCCGTTCAACTTAATATGTATTCGAACTCAATTCATTTATCTCGTTAATAAGTTTCACTTCACATTCGAAGTAATTCAGTTCTGTGTACCCGTCCATATGTTGGATTTCCCTTATCAGTTCATTCTTAACTTATTCAGTCACTTCATTTTTTGGGTTATAATCTTATTCATCAGTTGCACTTTACTTTTGAAGTGCTTGACTTCGTCTCTATATTTGGGGTGTGCCTCATGGCTATCCGAAGTCAACTATCCTGCTGTTCATTTTATCCGAGGTCAGAACCTTGTGTTAATTCAAGTTACCTTATCCAACGTGAGTTCCTCAAAGAAAAATATCAATCGCAAAATCAAAAAATCTTATACATTAATAAAATCT